GGAAAGTAGGTTCTTCTGTTCCCCGTCTCCCAGATGGAATCTCACAGGAAGTGCCTAGAAGCCGTAATCTCAGGGCTCGATCGGTTTCAAGGGGTAAACATAACCTGATCTCTCAGGTCGTCGACAAGCCTCCAGAATCCAACACTAGGTTTGACGCAACTGTTTTTGCTTCTCCCAGCACTGTTGACGAGTGGGTACAGGTTGTAAGGAAGAAAAAAATGTAGCGACATAAAATTTAATCCTACCCCCGCGAAAGTAGTCGTAAAATTAAAAGCTGATCATGGGGACAGATCAGCTATTTTTCATAGAATCAAGGAGAGCGAGAGCTCTGAACCTTAAGCTCGTTTTGAGCATGACATTGTGCTGAATAAGCAGCTGCTTAATCAACTCATGCCTAAAAATATCCCCGGAGTCACCTTGCTAAAGGTATATAGACTAGGTAGTCTAGCGGACTTGAAACCTAATCATTCCAGACTGCTTAAAGTAGTATTCAATTATTCGAACAAGCGTGACTTAATTTTACAGAATGTACACAAATTAAAGGTTTCAGGAGTCTTCATACTGAAGGACTTAGCATTGACAAACCGTGTAAAAAGACGGGAAACCGAAAAAGAACTACAACTTAGGTTAGACGCTGGAGAAATGAACCTAAAATTTGTAAATTTTTGGGATGTAAGGCTTTGACAGAGAATGGTGTCGAAGCCACTCTGCGTGAAGCACGAAGACACTTAAATAGGCTTCAGATCAGCTACACTAATGTCCGGAGCTTACTTAATAAGCGATCGGAACTAGGTGTATAGATTGGCTCTACAAAGCCAGATATAATCGCAGTTACAGAAACCTGGTTGACACAGTCTATAGATAGTATGGAACTTGATTTCGAGGGTTTTACGTTAGTAAGGGCCGAGAGAATACAGAAGCGTAAAGGAGGGGGAGTGGCTCTATTCATTAAGAATGCTATCCCATTTGCCATTAATTATATGCCACCGCTAGGTAAAAGTGATCACGCAGTTTTAACCTTCAACTGCCGTATAACCGTCGGTGACGAGCACACGTCAGCCCAATCCACACCTAACGTCTTGAAAACAAATATACCAGATATCATGCACTCAGCATCGTTAGTAGATTGGACAATAGACCCAGAGTCCTCAGTTGGAACGGCCTGGGACGCATTTCGAAATTCATACTTAAAAGTTACCACGCCCCACATCCCTTGGACTATACCAAAGGGGCCGAAAAACTCACCACCATGGCTCAGTAGGGAGGTCCGTATCCTTCTCCGTAAGAAAAGGAAAATGTGGGATAGATTTAGGTTACTGGGGACTGATGAGTCAAAATCTCAGTATTGATAGGCTCGGAATACTTGTGCCTCGACCCTCCGTAAGTCTAGAAAATTGTACAAAGGAAAACTTGTTAAGGAATCCATAGAATGTCCTAAACGCTTGTATGCCTATATAAACTAAAGGACAAGGAGAAAAGGAAATATTCCTGCTCTGTGGGGAGACAGTACTGCTTCATCATTAGTGGAAGACGACTTTGGTAAGGCTCAAGTGTTCTCGAACTACTTTAGCAAAGTATATACATCCTAGGCTACTTAAGGAATTATCTAACTTCGTTGCAAGCCCTTTAAGTACATGCTCTAACCTATCCGTTACGCAGGGTCGCTTACCAAAAGACTGGAAAAACGCCATAGGAAGTCCTGTTTTCAAAACAGGTACGAAACACAAACCTGAGAACTACCGCCCCGTTAGCCTAACTAGTGTGGTTGTTAAAATCCTAGAAAAGATTATTCGGAAGGAGCTGTTTAAGTATCTCGATAAAAACCGGATCCTTTCGGAGAAGCAGCACGGTTTCAGAATAGGTTACTCTTGTCTTGACGCACAACCGGCTGTTATATAAATTAAGAAATGTCGGGATTGGAGGCAATCTATTTATGTAGATAAAATAACTCTTAGTTGGGTGTCAACAAAGAGTGCGAGTGGACTCAAAGTTATCTAGCTTGGGAACTGTGCTTAGTGGAGTGCCTCAGGGTACAGTTTTGGGGCCAGTGCTATTCCTCTTGTATGTAAATGATCTTCCTTGTCTCCTATCATAATCGGTCTTGCTATATGCTGACGATGTCAAGATATGGAGAACGATACGATGTGAGGGTGACAGCTTAGAACTTCAAAATGACCTGAAGAAGTTATCTGAATGGTCTCAAACATGGCAGTTGCCGATAAATACTTGCAAGTGTGTTGTGATGCATATCGGTCATCAAGGCACAGATACATACACGATGAATAACACTGAGCTACCTGTCGTCCAGACATAAAATGACTTAGGAGTCATCGTTAGCCAAGACTTAAAGACTACTGCACACTGCCGTGCAATAGCTGCCAAAGGTTTTAGAACGTTATGGTCAATACGTAGGGCTTTTAGTCATGTCGGCACTAAGACGTTTTTGACTTTGTATACAGTGTTCGTTCGTCCTAAACTTGAGTACTGCATACAAGCGGCTAGCCCCTGCTTTAAAAAAGGCAGTGAGCTTCTGGAAAAGGTTCAGAGAACGGCGACTAAGCTGGTTCCCGCAATAGCGAAGCTTCCGTATGAAGTTCGACTGGCCAAGCTGAAACTTTTCCCGTTGTCATATCGCAGAACTAGAGGCGACTTGATTACAGATTTCAAATTGCTTAGTGTCAAATTCGCACATGATATGCCCTCATTTTTCTTGTCTTCCGAAACAGAGAATTTACGAGGACACTCCAAAAAAGTTCACAAGCCGAGAACAAATTACTTGTCATCTGACAACCGACTTTCCTATCGAATCATCAACGAGTGGAACTCACTACCTCAGTACGTGGTTGAGGCTCCATCCCTCGACTCTTTCAAAAGAAAGTTGGATCAACTGAGGGACCACCATTGCCAAGACTAACACAGGCCATGAGGCCTCCTGTCCATCCCAAACTGAAACTGAATCTCGAAAACTTACTGAGCTATTTATTTTGTGGATTTATTTTCCCCTACAATATCAACCCGTTCTGTTGACACACTAAAAGAGATATTGGAACTCCATAGCGCTACGAATTACTAGGTCAATATGGGTCAAATACTTCCTAACCTTGCGGCTGAGGACTGAACGAGCTGACTCAAGGTCGTGGGGTTGCAAGGTGAATGGTCCGACCTGGTTCTTTGCAACGCGTTCAAAACTTTACGCTACCAACCTATGTCTCAGTTATCCGAATATCCTAACCTTAAGATTGTGTAATTCCTGACTGTTGTTGACTTCTCTCATTATCAAAAGTGAATAGGTGAGACTATAATTTATGAACAAACCATCCATTTACGATAACACGTCTTGGTTTTCGGTGCGAATGTCTTCATCTATCTGACTAAAGAGCGTTTGGGCATTTTAGCTTATTTCAGTTCGTGATGAAAACCCTAAATCTAATTTCTAACTATCAACTGTCGATCATAATTCTAATCCCTCACACTGCTTTATAACCCTCATTTAGTTATAGTGTAATGGTGGAAATTCTCAAGTCCACTCTAGCGTGTCTTAAAGGCCGTCCATAAATTATAGTCTCACCAGGAAAGCTACTCGCACTTACCACCAGTCATTCCTTATGATTAGTAAGCCAAAAAGTCCGATTTGCATAACGGGGAGTTGTGTTAATGTTATGCCATATTTACACGAAGCTGTATTATTCAAATACTACAGTTAATTTGTTTCAAACTACGGGTGTAATGTCATATGGCTTTAGTTTGACTGTTTTCGTCATGTAAGGAATTTCACCCGGTTCTTGTTATCTGTCAACGATTAAGATATCTTAGTTTTATTCGGTTAATCCATATAAATACTGGTGCCACTAATTACCAAAACAAGCATGTGTAACACATATAAATGTACTTTTTTCATTCCCCGGCTTCAAGTCTTAAAATGAACACCTTTGCTTTTTCCAACTAGTCCTAGCAACGGTAAATAATCTAGTGTTAAAGCTGCTAGGGTGATATTCGTATCATATTTAAGCTAATGAAGCCGTTATCTCAAGATGGTGACATTCATCGGATTGTTGTCACTATGCTTAAGTACGTTGCAAAGCCTGAGTGTTACCAACTTGTTGCCACTGAAAGTCAGCAATCCTTCGGAGATGACAATAGTCTAACCTGAAATGTCTTAAAACATTCTTGGCTCTGAGAGACGCGGCTTCGTAAGTATAGAGCAAAACCACTTGCTAACACTCTGTGGACATAGTCTTTTACCATCAGACTAGCACCACGATGGCCCTAGGATGGGTTCAGACTAATGTAAGCCGCTTTCACTATACCCAGATTGATTGCACCACTCATGCCGCCACTATCAATTACACCGCCACCTAAATACACGAATTTCATGACTGCTTCTGGCGACGCTCCCAATAGAGTGTGGGCGAGAGTTCCTGCCATTCTTGTGAAATTGCATACCGTACCTACGGACGGTGGTCACCAACCTGTTCGGTACTATCCGTGTAGCACGTATGTCGTCACACGATGCGGCAATACCGTTCATATACTCATGATCGAAAACTATCTCTCCAGGTAACAAATTTTCACTACCACTATCTGCTTTCACCAGGGCTTTTTCTGAAATCTCATTAACGGTAAAGTAAGAGAGAAGCTGTAAGATTGGGCAGTTCTTAAATGGAACAGTAGAGAGCAGTGATTTTGTGCCCACGCTCTACCCGTGGTGTTTGTGTACAGAGCTTTCGGGATGTTCATGAACTTCTCGGACACGCCCTTCAACAGTTAGGTCCGAGGAATAGTCCTGTCCAAGGAATCAAAGGCAACCAGTTCAAAACCAACAGATTATAGTTTCTCCTACTTATTACTCATAATTCGGCTCTATCTTATAACTCGTTCTATAGTAAAAAGTATTAAATATTGCCGGGCAGTTTATACTCTTATACTCCAGTGCATTTGTTATTTACTGAATCTTGAGTTCTTTATTACTGTTTTACTGCAGAGATCTCAATATATTTCAAATGACCGTCCCAAATGATGTTGCTCTATATGATCTTGCGATCAAAGCAGGAGTTCCTATGGATAACAAAGTTTTTAGGTATGATGCAACTTTTTAATTAACATTTTTCTTGAAGTGACTTATATCAGTTTCGTCAGACAGCTTTTTTTCATTGTCTTAGGAATCTAAAGTCTGACTCATGCATGTATCATGCTTAGTAGATTAGTTCTGCAAGTCTAATACATTTTTGGCTAAGAACTTGGCATAGAAATTCAATTTTCCAAAACTTAAAAAGACCGCATACGCTTGACAATTAGTGTCTTTGAAACATTACTTGGAAGTGATAGGATCGTGGATAAGAAGTGACAATGGTCAACAGAGAGTCCTATGGAATAAAGTAGATCATTCCTCAAGATTATCTAAAGCAGTAGCTTTGTTGTCGACAAAGTTAATCTTTGGCTAACGGATTGCGAGTTTAAATGTCATCTCGCCTGCTTCAGCTTGAGTATCTATATAGTAAGCCTACCCCTCACATAAATTGAGTGAAAACCAAACTGACAATCTGGTACCTGGCTACTGGGCGATTAATTTTAGTGAAATTGAAACACCTTATTATGTTTGTCATGTGTAACCAGTCATCCGATCACGTCAATTGACGTTACCTAGTGTGGGATATACTTAGGAAACGGTTGGAAGTAAAAAGATCAATCCATTGTGTCATTTAAGGAAAAGCAAGCTTCTTGTGATTAGGCGCCATGAATGGTAGGGTTCAAAATAAGTCACAATAAAGCATTCATTCTTTGAAATAAAACCCGAATATTCATCATTATTTCACTTGTGCACATGGCTCTGTTTAATTAACTGTGATCTGACGATCTAGTAAGGTCACTGTTTCTAGGTTTAGGGTATATGAATAACTAAATTTCCGGTTGCATTTATCAATACTAAAGAAATAACTAGACAAAGTATACTTACGTAAATGGATGACTTGGTAATCTATTCCTTCTGTTCCTAGTTGTACACTAAAAAACTTACGGGTATGCATTCAGTGCAATGGGTTTATAAAACATAGCATCTAAACCCGTAAGTTGGGAGACTCAAAGGTTTTCAGACAGTAACTTCGTATCATTTCATGTCAGTCAGTCAGGAGGTGTAGGAAAGATTTGAATGTGGCCAACTTGGTCTCGTGCTGTTACGGGTATGAGGGCTGATGTCACTTCCCGACTGCCCACACCGTGGAAGGGTATTTCTTGAGGAACCTGAAGAGGAAATTGGATTAGTGTTGGTCTTAACGACCTGGGAGCGTGACCGCAGAGCCCAAGGGACATCTGCTTGAGGCCGGTCGCGTACGACTTTTTGTGGAAGGTTTTTGACGTGTTAGCTCCGTTCTTCAAAGGGCCTTGCCGCCGGAGACGGAAATCCGTGAGGTAAGGTGAGGTGTGACATTTTTAGGGTCGACCTTTTCTAACCCCACCCCTCCTTATGGGAAGACAGCATCGCTGTCATGCTGGTTGTCCGAGAGAAACATCTTACTGATGTCACACCCCTCTACAGTCAGCAGTACGACTTCACCCTAAGACCTTGAGTTGCTGCTTTTAGTCTTACCATTCACCAATCGACCTGCCTAGCATGGTAGAACCTACAGGAACATATGTTCCAGCCAATATAGCTCGGTTGGGTCATCACGATAGGCAAGCCCGACCACCGCGTCAAGGTAGCAGCTTCGGTCGGGATCATTTCATGTCGTCATTGACTGTGACTCCATTTCGTGTTTAGAGGTGTAAGCCCCCGAGTTATTGTCATCAAATTAACTGTATTTAGTAGTTAAAGACTCCAAGTATGACATTCACAATTGTTGAGAGTGGCCTGAATAGATCTACTCATTATATTCCTTTAAATGTTAAATCCTAGTATTTCATTTTTAAATTTTATTCGTTATTTTTTAATTGTATTTCCCAAATTTAGTCCTTGATACTACTATTGCATGTATCAACTACCTGTCAGAACAGTGTATCTTATTACTGGGTCGTATACTAAAAAGTGGTTTTTATGTATAGTTATTGCAAATTATTATTTTGATAACATTCAACTTTTCATATCTTTTTCTATTAGAAGAGTATATGGCTTGATTTCACTGGGTTGCAGTCCAGACGTCATTTTTTCAATGTTAAAATATCTCACATCTGTTCAATTAGTCGATTCTACAGAATTAGGCGATCGTAATTCAATATCCAATATTAGTACAACTACTAGCAGGAGTACTGAACAACATCATCAGGTGAATCGATCGAGATTCCCAGCAAGTCGGAATTTAGAATCACAACAAAGTTTTCTTGGTACTTTTAGTGATTGTGATCAATATTTTAATGGACGGAATTATGAATTATGTAGAATGCTGTCAAATAAACCGAGAGTTACACAACATCATCTATATTCAAAACCAAACTTATAATGTGGTGTAGCAACTCGAACTGATGTACACACGTACGAAGTTCTACGTTGTTACTGACTGACTGAAACTTATAATGCCATACTACAAACTAGTATAAGTAAATTGTGTCCAGATTTTGTTTCTTACAGTTAAGCTTTTTAATTCGTGATGTTGGTTCTTTTTTAAAATGTATTATTGTTTATAAAAGGCCTTATTTTGTACCTCCTACATCAATTAGTTTATTCAAGAGATATGACCATAAATATTTCTACGGAAAAAAACTGTATTCTCCAGAATAACATGCGATGCTTCACTTCTCGTTCGAATAAACGAGAAGTAAAGTACTTACCTCAGTCATTATAACGGAACAGTTATAGTCAACAGTCTGGCTTAAATGTTCTTCAGTTCACGGTATCATACCACGTCGGCAGAACGAGCGAAACGTAACTGAATAGATACCCAGAGTTAAAGTAATAGCAGCAGTACTAATGACAATGGGGAAGCATCGGAAATGTGGTTTAAAAACAAAATGAATTCACCGAATGGAAAGAACGAATGTCATAGCAGAATAACATGAGTTCATTTATTTCGTGGATTCTCCTAATCTGCTTACAACCTAAAACCATGGTATTAATCAATAAAACGAAACAAGTTTACATAATTTACACTGGAAATATCTATAATAAATTGAGTTAATATGTGGAGATAGAATAATTTTAAGAGATATTAGGAAAGAACTGACACTGTTCGAGCATTCGCTCATTTAGAAGTTAGATATATGAATATTCTAGGAGGATGGCGATGGACTAGCTGAGCGAAGCACAGAAGTAAGAATTAAGATACCAGGAATTTTAGTTAAAGTTTATGGGAAATAGTCCCACGTAATAGTCTTTGAAAGAAGCTTAGCAGGGAAAAACAAGATTGGTAACTATTTTATTTTACTTGTTTATTTAAACACATAAATATTGGTACAAGGATGCACCGAATAAATATGCGCCACACAAATCCCATTTGATCTGTGTGGGGGCTGTGATACTGCCCAAACCGAAGCAGGTGGTTTCCCTAAGGGGCCACACTCGGAGCCTTCGATCTGAAGGTCTGATCCACAAAGCAGTGGGATATCGTGAGGAGATGCACTCCCATGGTAGCCGGTGACCAACAATTGGTTCATACGCCGCTTGTACCTTCAGGATATTGGAGCCCATGTGCACCATTGGTTTAGAACCAGGGTTTCCCAACTCCCTTAGGTGGACTCTCCATGTCTACCAACCCGGTTAAAGCGCCGGACATTCGCTTTTCGTCCTCTCGAGTTCGTAAACAACACCCCCGCCACGAGAAGGCAGTGAGTAGGACCGTGTGAGCATTTCGAGAGGTAAGGTGGGCCCTCCCCCTTACTCTCGGGCGCACCAGGGCATCTGGGGGCTTTGAAGCATTTACCAGCGATCATTTTGTCCATCAGTATTCAGTTTGTTATTTATTTCATAATCCTAGAATAGTGATAATAATTACTTCTTATTATCCCTCGTTTAGTCCTAACATGTAAAGTACATTTTGAGTGAATGGATCTGATTAGCACAACAATCCCACATCTAGACAGAAGTGAATAATAAATATTAAGTTTACTGAACCTACAAATTTAGATGAATACCGTTTTTGCTTCGAGTGTAATTTTATCATGAAACTGAGAGAATAGCTAGTGAATGAATAAAAGACAATACATTAACATTAAACTATCACGGATATTACCAAGATGTAGGAATTATAATAAGTTTAATACTATTCGGTAGAGTTGAGAAGACATTAGGCGAAAAATAAAAAGGTATTTTATTTATTTATCAAGTTTAAATGCAACAATTAACTTCAATAGATCATATAAAACGTGATCAATTTTAAAAAAATATATAGATTCTTCAAATGAATTTCAAAGACACTAATTTGTCTTATATCTTTAAAAAGTATCTCATAATATTGAATGACTTATTGCACCAGTCTTTTTCCAATGAATGCTAAGAGACCTGAGACTATTCCTTGATGCAAGAATAAACAGAATTAACCAAAGAATTTAAAATAAAATCCTTGTTAAGAGATCGAGCATGTGCATGATTTGTCACATACGCCCATGTTAGTTGTAACTGAGGGTCAATAAAAACTCCTTGACCAAGAATATCATCCCACATGCCAAACATTAAAGTATTCTGTATAAAATAGGGAATGAAGACAATATATTTACGAAATAAGGTTATAGAAATAATCAAATAGCCATACGAGATGATACTGAATTGACTTGTGCATATAACTTAGCAACGATTTATACTTTAGTAGTTTACTATATATATAATTTTTAAGGTGTATGTATCGAACCAAAGTGAGTTCTGAAACTCTTATACCACATTATCAAATTATCTATTACGTCTCTAATTTTACAGTACAAATTCCAAAAGCTCGTAATCTTGATTAAATTTTGCACTTAGTAAGGTAGAGAATTAGCGTTTACGGTATCACTGGCACGAGAATAACAGAACACCTACGAAGGTTTTGAAACAAAGTAACATCAGTTCAGCTAACAAGTAACACCACGATCGATACGAAAAGAAAGTGTTTTTAAATAGAAATTTACCTTACTACATCAACAAAAGGCAATATTACTGTAAATTATATGGTATACTATTGTGACAATCGATATCAAAAAGCAGAAAGCAAAATATATTTTAGAGTAAAATTACTGATAGCTAAAAAAATGACAATTATGAATGATAAGTCTGCCAAAAGAACGCTTGTTAACAACTTTCTAATCAGTTTCTATAACTTTGATGGGATTCTGTTCTCTGAGCTGGATGGTTTGGTCATGGAGCTTTAATCGTTCTTCTGAACATCATCAGCACAAACTTCAAGTAGGAGTAAAGTATTCGAATTTCTGCACATATAGCTCACAGCTTGTCCTGTAGAACTCGGTGTTGATTGGTTAATGTTGACATTAAACCTGTCATGGTTTACTTCTTCATTTTGGTTGTACCTCCCATTGGTTTGAACTTTAGTCCTGTATTTGTCAATAATTTTACTGACTAGTTGATAAATTGGATCGATTACAATGTGTTTGTTGACTGCTGATTGACCTAAGTGCCAAGCTTCTAAGACTTCTGGCGTTTTTAGGAATGCTTCTATCCAAGATCTCAACACTGAGCCACTAGGCTGGTATTTTTTGATGAAGTTGGTTGATCTTCAGGCTATTTTACTTTATTTGAACACATAAATATTGGTACAAGGTGCACCAGATATATATGCACCACACAAATCAATGACAATGGAAAGAGAAAAATTAAGTAAGGTGTGTATAAGAAAAAAAGAACAATAACGACCACAGGTTAACTCCGCCTGTAGCCCCTCTAGGGGCTACTGCCGGTCCCGAGCCCTGATAAAAGAGAGTTGAGCATGGGGTTAGCGACCCTATCCCGTAGAAAAAATTATTCGAACCTTTTAAAATCTACCCTGGGAGTCAGGTCTTAATTAAGAAGAGTTATGACGCCTCATGGTGAAAACCGCGTTCCTTCGGAAGTCACGAGGCCGATACCTCTTCTGACAACCAGAGCAACCATTTATTTAGGTACGTGGAATGCTCGTACAACGGGAGTCTCCCAAATTGCTGCAGAAATGAGGAGATACAACCTAGAGGTGCTTGGGATCAGTGAAATACATTGGACGCAAGTTGGACAACAACGGCTAGCTTTAGGAGAGCTTCTGTTATACTCCGGCCATGATGAAGAAAATGCCCCACATACACATGCATTGATGCTGTCCAAACAAGCACAAAATACACTTTTAGGGTGGGAATCTCATGGACCAGGGATCATCAAAGCCTCCTTCAAAACGAAGAAAGAGGGCATTACAATGAACGTCATCCAATCCTATGCACCTACCAACGACTACAATGAAGACACTAAAGATCAATTCTACAATAAGCTGCAGTCAATCGCCGAGAAGTGCCCAACAAAGGGCACGACTATTCTGATTGGAGATTGAAATGCCAAGGTTGGAATGGACAACACCGGATATGAAGACAGCATGGGACGAGATAGACTAGGAGAAGGGAACGAAAATGGTGAGAGATTTGCGAACCTATGTGCCTTCGATAAACCGGTCGTAGGCGGCACTATATTCCCACATAAGCGCATTCACAAAACCACATGGACTTCACCGGATCACACCACGCAAAACCAAATCGGCCATATCTGCATCAACAAAACGTTCAGGAGGACTATAGAGGACGTGAGAACCAAGAGAGGAGCTGATATAGCATCAGGTCACCCCCTGCTGGTCGCCAAGTTGAAATTGAAACTCAAGAAGCACCAAACAACGAGGTGGACAACATCACCAAAGTTCAATACGGATTTTCTTCAAGATACTCAACAAATTCAGGATAGTCCTCAACAATAGATTCCAGGCCTTTCATGATCTACTCAATGGAGAAGGAACTACTGTGGAGAGCAACTAGAAGGGGATCAAAGAGGCAATCAATTCAACATGTCATGAGGTTCTGGGCCAAAAGAAGCTCCATCACAAGGAATGGATCACTGTTGATACACTGGATAAGATTCAAGAAAGGAGGAACAAGAAAGCAGCAATCAAAACCAAGCCCCAAAAAGCCCTGGTATGGCCGAGAGCGGGGGGGGTTCGCCCTCCCTCTCGAAATACTCTCACACGGCCGCGCGTATACAGACTCTGACAGGGAAGTCCTACTCACTGCCTTCTCGTGGCGGGGGTGTTGTTTACGAAAATGAGAGGACGAAAAGCGAATGTCCGGCGCTTTAACCGGATTCCAAATCTATGGTGCACATGGGCACCAGTATCCTGCGGGAACAAATGGCGTATGAACCAATTTTCGGTCATCGGCTGTCATGGGACTGCATCTCCTTACGATGCTCCACTGCCTTGTGGGTTAGACCTTTAGGTCAAAGGCTCGGGTTGTGTCCCCCTAAGATAACCACCTGCTTCGGTCTGGGCACCCGGGCAGTATCGCAGCTCACACGCAATTAATGAACTGAAATTGTGTGGCGCATATATATTTGGCGCACTCCTGTACCAATATATATGTGTTCAAATAAAATAAAATAAAATAATAAAATCGAACAAGAGCAGAAAACGCCAAGACACAAGCTGAATACACAGAAGTAAACAAGCAAGTAAAGAGGAGCATCAGAACTGACAAACGTAAATATGTGGAAGATTTAGCAACGACGGCGGAAAGGGCTGCAAGAGAAAGAAACATGAGAGAATTGTATGACATAACAAAGAAACTCGCTGGAAATTACCGTAAAGCAGAACGACCAGTGAAAAGCAAGGAAGGCAAGGTAATCACCAACATTGAAGAACAACGAAACAGGTGGGTAGAGCTCTTCAAAGAACTCTTGAATCGACCAGCCCCACTAAACCTACCCAACATAGAAGCAGCACCCACGGACCTCCCAATCGATGTTGGCCACCAACAATTGAAGAAATCAGAAAGGCCGTCAGGCAAGGCAGCAGGACCAGACAACATTCCAGCAGAGGCACTGAAAGCATACGTAGCAGTAACCGCAAGGATACTCCACATTCTCTTCAGCAAGATTTGGGATGAGGAACAAATACCAACAGTATGAAAAGAATGACATCTGATCAAAATACCAAAGAAAGGCGATCTCAGCAAATGTGATAACTAAAGGGGCATCACTCTTCTCTCAATACCAGGAAAAGCCTTCAATGGGGTATTGTTAAACAGGATGAAGGACTGCGTAGACGCCCAACTTCGAGACCAACAGGCAGGATTCCGTGAGGATCGGTCGTGTACAGACCAAATCGCAACACTACGGATCATTGTGGAACAATCAATTGAATGAAATTCATCACTCTACATCAACTTCATTGACTATGGGAAAGCATTTGATAGCGTGAACAGACAACATTATGGAAGCCTCTTCGACACTACGGCATACCTGATAAGATAGTCATTTAATTTATTATTTATTTTAACACATGGATATTAGTACAAGAAGCAGTAAAGGCTCTCTACTCGAACACAACTGGTCGAGTGAGAACTTATGGCGAACAGTCATCAGAATTGATTACCTCAAGTGGTGTTCATCAGGACTATCCACTCTCTCTCCATACTTGTTTAACTTTGTCGTTGACGTGTTTTTAGAGATAATACTTTGCAGGGGTTGAACTTCTACCGAGAGATTCACTTTTTGACCTAGAATATGACGATGACATAGTTTTATTCAGTGAAGATGCTGACAAAATGCAGTCTGTTGACCAACTTAAGCAACAATGAAAGCATGTTCGGGATGCAATTCTCACCCTAAAAACTCAAAATGTTGCTTCAGGATTGGGTTGCATCGACACCCGAACTAATGATAAAGAGTGACGTAGTTTAGCGTGTCGACCGCTTCATTTATCTTGGAAGTCTCATCAGCCCTTTTGGTTTGGTATGTGACGAAATCTCAGCATAGATACAGAAGGTTCGACTAGTTTTTGCCAACCTGCGTCATTTATGGTGTAGGTGAGATATCTGTCTATTAAACAAACGACGTGTTTACTGCGCAGTAGTTCGTTCCGTCATATTTTATGGCAGTGAAACATGGCCGGTAAGAGTAGAGGATATTCGCACGTTACTAGTATTCGATCACAGGTGTCTTCGAAGCATTGCTCGTATATCCTGGGACCATCGAGTAAGTAACGCAGATGTTAGGAAACGGGTATTAGGTAAGGATGGCAAATCAATTGATGAAGTAGTGAAACTTCATCAGTTGAGATGGCTGGGACATGTATTACGAATGCCCAATTACCGACCTGCGATGTTCAATGGTATAGGAGTAGATTGGAAGAAAGCTAGGGGCGGCCAGACCATAACGTGGCACAAATCCATGAAGTCACTGACAAGTGGACTGAGCCATGTTGGTAGGTGTAGACTACCTGGTTGGAGACCGCGAGATGGTAGCAACCGATGGTTAGAGACCCTGAATGACATGACTCAAAATCGTTTGCAATGGCGCAGGTGCATCCACTCTTTGTGTTCTCTCAAATACTAATCTTCTGGATTCTTCATGCCCTTTTTTCTCTCTTTCCAAATTTATTTCACTGTATTTATACTCCTTGAATAACATCTTCAAACCCTAATCTTTCCGAATACTGCTTATACTCTTACTACCTCTTCCACTACGGAATTTGAGTCGACAACAGCATCTCTGTGCTAATGTGGTGTGGCAACTCGAACTGATGTACGTACGTATGTACGAAGTTCTAGGTTGTTAATGACTGACTGACTGACTAGTACAAGGAGGAACCAAATACATAAGCGCCACACAAATCTCATTTGATATATGTAAGGGCTGTGAAACCTGGCCTCTCCGAGTTGAGGACGTTAGAAGACTCTGTGTTTGACCGTCGGTGTCTCCGAAGGATTGCTGACATCCAGTGGCAACATCATGTTAGTAATTTAGAGGTTTGGCATCGTGTGTTCGGGTACAGAGGCGATAATCCAGTTGGTGTCACCATCTTGAAACATCGACTTCGGTGGCTTGGACATGTTCTACGAATATCGCCCCAGAGAATTCCACGTCGTGCATTATTTGCCGACGCTGGGACTGGTTGGAAAAAGCGGAGATGTGGTCAGTGTATGACATGGTGTCGTGGTATGAAAGAAAGCTGCAAAGGACTGGCTTCTGTCGGTCCTTCACGACTCCCTGGTTGGGGTCCGAGAGATGGTGCAACACAGTGGTTAGAGACGTTATCAGATATGGCTCAGAATAGAAGCCCGTGGCGATCGTGCTGTAACCTTCTTTTACTTTCTTCGTAAGAAGCGGTTGCTTCATCCTTAACTGAAAGATTTCTTCTGATTGTACCTTTCGCTTCCCTCATTATTATTACTATTACACTACCTTACACTAATCTGTTCATTATTGGTCTTTTTCTTACGTTCCTTACCTTTTTTCCGTTCTCTTTAAATTCTCATTGTTTTGTGTGGCGCATATATATTTGGTGCAGTTGATTTTCTGAGCTCTTAGGTTGTTGCTACTGTAATTGAGAATTTGATCCGTGTGGGTTGGCTTCTGACATACTCGAGTTTCCAGTTTCCCTGTGTCGGTTTTAGTGATTAATACATCCAAGAATGGTAGTTTGTTGTTCAATGCCTGTTTCATTGTGAATTGATGTCATCGGCGACGTTGCTGATCAGATTGTAGGTGTTTTCCAGTTCGTCCTTTTTGACGACGACGGATTCGTCGTTCACATAACGAATTCAAATTCTTGGCTTGATCGCTGGTAGGATTGAGGCTTCTAGTATCTGCATCACTACTTCTGAGATAAGTCCTGACATTGGTGATCCCATCAGTGTTCCTTTTTTTTGTTCGTAGATTTTGTTGTTGAATTGAAAGTATGTTGTTAGGTATAAATAGATGACTTTGAAGCTTCGTGTACTTTGCGAGATGTGTCGTTGGTGAGAAGCAGAGATAGAGTTTCCTCTGCTAAGCTTTGTTCAATTAAGGCGAATAAGGCTGTTACATTGAATGATATTATCAGTTCGTCGTTGTTGAATTGAACGTTCCTCATCTGATCCAGGAATTGTAAGTGGATACAATCAGAATTTAATCATTTCAAGGGCTTAAGTAAAATTATTAGATGTAAACATATTTGTCCGGAATAGTTTATCCAAATGAAAACATTTACAGCAGAATGATGTGGTGAGACCGAGAACTAAAACTGACTTTCTTGTACTATATGTCCTAATATCTAATTTGTTTGAAGCACGCAAAATTACTGTTGAGTCAAAACTGCATTTCTGCTTCCTGGAAGGTGGCACCATGCTGACCTTCTTTAGAATATCTAATGTAATGAATCCATTACTTCCATCGTTCTGAATGGTTATTTAGTACTTGAAACTACATTATACTATAATGTAATGTAAATTTTCCCGGAATTACTAATCAAATAAACAGTACCTTTGGTGAATTAGTGACCATAAAGCCTGCCGAACTGAGTTTCAAATATCGATGAAGAACTGGATCATAAGAAGATGTGTTAACAACCTGTAGCATCCAATTTCGTATCGACTTTTTGAAGACGAACTGTGCAGTGTCTGATACAGTCGCATTTGTTAATTTATCTACTGAATTTTCCAAAAGAGTAAACAGACGAGCCAAATTTCGTGCGTTTGTGAACAGGTGTGATGAAACCAGTGGGATTTCCAAAAGATCAGGATTCCAATTATAATAAAGCTGTACATAAAAAAGAACGAAAACTAAACCATGAACAAATGTCAATCTATTTATTAAGTGGTGGTTTATGACAACTTGATTACTACACCAAATCCCATTGCTGCACGACTGGTTTAACAAATCTAATCATGCATATAAAAAGAATTGTACATCAAGAATGACTTCAGTAAATGCATATGAATAGTCAACAATAAATCAATGGCTACAATAGACAAGTCAAAAGCTATTGGTAATTTAATTTCCAAAGCAAATTGCACAGAAGAGACAAGTATTTTGAGTATCGACTGGCAGTCTAAACAGTGTGACGATAAAAATCTGAAATTTCTGCATAGAAACTTAGGATGTAGAGCAGACATATTAATATAATCAAGAATTTAATCACACGGAAATCAAAAACGTGAAATAATATCAGCAGTGGTCAGAAATAAAGACAGAAAAAAACAAATGAGAAGTGTAGAATAATATGACTTAGGGCCTAAAGGAAGATCACGATCAATTTTGAACCATGTTATCAGAGATTTCTAGCCATAAGTTATGATTAATTGATGGATCTGGATAAGAACGTCTGTATCGTCCAACGCGGCTGAAAGTAACAACTAATAACTTGATGAACTGATACAATCGCGCAGTGGGCAGTATACGACCCGTTAGCACAGTAGTGTATATGGAGTTACTACATCATTTGGCGTTTGCAGTCTGCACCATCCTGATTTGCTATCTTGGAATATAGTTGTGCTTAGAATATTTAACTGCCTTGAACATAAAAACGTATGTACGTATCACTATGATACTTATCATTAGAAATAAGGTAATTGCGATGATAGAAGTGCTTACCTCATAATCATTAAACACGTTCAACACCTTATTTCGCTCTTTTGAATACGGAAGCCAACCAGCAGTGACCAAATTTGTCCACGGATATGCCACGTCCAGATGTAAAATGGCGCTAAGTACACTTAAAGCGTCGGCGTGATATGTTCGTGCAACACGATATAGTTGGGTACGTGGAATTCCAATAAGCATATCTAAACCTTAATTACAATAAAGATAGTATGAATGAAATTGGTTTATAAAACAGTTTGCAAGAATATCTTGAACAATAGAATTTCCATGTCTTAAATTTTACACACAAATTAATGCTAAATAATGATCACCGTGTAACAATCTAAAGACAGTACAAATAGAAATTATTTTTCTATTGGTCTTATAAACAGTTCATTCACACTGCTTACCAAGAGGCCATGCGATTTCTTCCATGAAATAACGTGCCAGTGTCCGTTTCTTGTGGTCTACTTTGCGCACGATTGCATCAGCCAATAAGGCCAATGAGTGTAGATGAAACACTTGAGTTCCTTTACAACGGTTATTATTGATTCTTAGACTTACGTGGTGGGACAGGAGGTATCTGGTTAGTGATATCGTTTAGAGCATTCCTATGGTCATCTCTCCATTTAGCTAGGGATGAATGACCTACAAAGTATGGAAAACCGGACTTTTTATATCAGTAAGCGTTATCAAATACCTGATGCGTGAGTAAATCAGATACAGTGACATTGGCAACCACGAACTGGGGAAGATAATGTTGTATCGAAGATTCAATATCCAGAAGTTCGCTGAAATGATAAGATGGATACTTTACTCTTACTCTTGGTACAACTTAGCGAATGAGAAAGGAACAACAACCATAGACACAGTGAACAGTTGACTAATAGTTGAAGTTACCCATGGCAGTCGAAATCGTTTGTCAACATAACCTCCAATCGCATCGACAACATGTTCCCCACGATAATAGACAGAAAAAGAAGAGCCAAGTTCATTGTTTTGCTGTATTTGATTTCTGAAATATACACGAGTTATATTAACTTACTTATAAACATGGATTGCGTGTTTAAATTGAGTAGAACTTGACCCACTCATTAGTGGTTGCAAATAAAAAAGTGAATATGAATATCCCAATACAAAGCATGACACACCCAGAATAATACCAAGCCAGGCTGAGAAATGGATCTGCTGAATAAAATTAAATTCATTTATAGATGGTGAAAAACTGCAAAATTTTCACACATTTAACCTTGTGTACAGTATAGCTATCTAAGACATATTTTTGCCTGGATTATTACAGGACCATAAAACAGGGAACAAATTAGCAACTGACTAGGAATATATTACTATCATAAAAAAGTTAGGAAATATATTGTTTAAGTGATAAAAATGAACCTTAATGTAAATGCTTGTTTACTAACCATGTTAACAAAGAAAAAGACCGGTATCACACAATTCCCCCATTTGTTAGTCACTGAGTGAAAGATCATTTACTAAGGAGTAGAATTAAAAGGAATCAATACGATAATCCTGGATAAAATTTGCTAAATATATAGACTTCGGAACATTATCGGTTTAAATAATAACCATCTATAAATACTAAAAGGGATATTTTTAAAATGAAAACTTGTAATTTTCTTAAATCATATTACAAGCGAGCACAGCCACGAACTTCCCTAAACTACATGCCCATTGTTAGCATCCTGTTTATCAGCACAGTATGAGTTAACTAGAAGATATTTCAGAGTCAAGGTGTCATGATTAATGTAATTTAAATAACTATGCATTCGACCTCCGGTAATTTTTGTGAATGCTCAATAAGTCCCCAAGCAATTAGTTTTGAGTATGGTCTACATAGCATGACAAACCATACAAGCAGATCTGCTAGCACACAGAAAATAACAGATTCTAAATGATATCTAGTTATACGTGGATAGACATATACTGAGATAAAGCCAATAACTCGCAATTTTGTGCGAAATGTTGACGATAAATATCGTTCACACTAATAATTTGAGGTTAGTTGTGAAAAAAGGTGATTAAGTCAGTCAACAAAATGATATCAGGTGCTGAAACAGGTTTGACGGCGGTTATCACCCCTCGGTTACCCACACAGTGGAGGATTTGTTCTTGAGGAACCTTAGATGGATTATTGCCGGTCTTAGCGACGTAGGAACATGGCTCAGTCCACTTGTCAGTGACTTCATGGATTTGTGCCACGTTATGGTCTGGCCGCCCCTAGCTTTCTTCCAATCTACTCCTATACCATTGAACATCGCAGGTCGGTAATTGGGCATTCGTAATACATGTCCCAGCCATCTCAACTGATGAAGTTTCACTACTTTACACTACCAGATACCTCTCGCTAAATCAACGTCCTCTGGAACTAATTAGTGAGCACAGTATTTCCGATTACTTTGCAATCCCATTTCAAACGGACATATCGTTTTGATATCATTTATTAAGGTTCTTACTTGCTCTTGCTCTTCTTGTAATACCATAGAAACTGACACAAATTCAAAATAATAGATCATCAGAAATCCTTTTCCAACCTGCAGATACGAAATGGGACTTGTGTTGGATACAAATCATTTGTGTCATGAGGTATGTACAGCTGGTTATATTGAGGCAGTCTTTTGGCAGGAAATGTTTTAGTGACTTCAATCGCACTGCAGGTCTAAAAGCACTAGAACTTCAGTACCGAAAGTTCAGGAACGAATGCGAAACGGGTATAACTGTCTCGTGCTAAGTAAGATAGCTAGTACATGACAGCCTCACCTGTATAAAACGAGTTTTTTTATAACTTAAGAAGAGGAAGAAATGAAGTGATGGAATCAGTCGTCAAATTATATGAAAATTCGGACTATAATTTCCGGATCTCCCTATTTTGAGCAAGCCGTTATACATAAATTTTAGGGAAATTCTGGGGGAGTGGCACAAAACCTATAACATTTCCACAAACGTTGGGAAAACTGACAAGTGTCACTGGACTCCTAAGAAAACCCCGAACTTTACTCAAAATCATCAGATCGAATTGTGGACGTGCTGAGGCGACCCTGAGAAAAATCAACTACCTTATAGAGTTAAGAAAAGATTATAAGTAAACTTAAGAAATCAGGACTTGAAATTAGAAGGTTCGAGTTTATATCACGAACCGACATCAAGGCACGGTAAAAGAAATGTCCGATCCTCCCGAAGTCGCCCGCCGTTTCCCTTGGACAACCTTGAGGAGGACGTTTCATAACCAATTGTTATGGGTTTGATAAGTGTCCATCATGTTGCACAAATATTAAGTGTTATCATATTAAAGTGGTCTTTCGCAACATCAGAACCACAAAATCATTGCGAAGAAGGTAACTTAGCTCTCTCTATCTTGTACTACACACCTTGGAAGGACTGTTGGTTTTTAAGTTGATCTGGAAAACCGATATTTTTACTGAACTTCACCGCCTTTGTTTAAAACCTTACAAGGTCCAGAAAACAACGTCACAACAATGAAAATAACTTTACAGTTTCAGATACGTGAACTTTATGTGGATCGTTGTTTTACTCAATGATATGACGATGTGTTATATAACTGGTAAGTCATAAATCTTAGTAATAATTTCTCCAGTTCTGTTTTGAATAATATTTGCTCAGTGTTGTGTGGTGCACCAATTTCAAGAGATTCTTTAGTCGACGTAAATGAGATGTATAATACTGAACAGTTATTTTGGAAGCTGGACTGAATTCGATAGTGTGCTACAGGAATTTCGGAAAGTAGGGTAGAATAAGTTTTTCCATCCTCAGACAACTCATACTCATCACATTCACGCCGAAAGTAAACTGCTTTTTGATAAATTCTATCCTGTAGATATTTTTTATTTCAGTTGTTAATAATTCATAGTTTTGATCGTGTGTTTCCTATTTTATTTGACTGGAAGCAAAAAGAATTGTGAGCAAATGTGCCTCGATCGTGGATAAATTGTGACATACTGGCTTCTTTTCCGTCATTCTACTGACTTACATAAGAAGAAGAAACCCTACAAGTAAGCTCAATCAATCACGAAATATAAACTGTATAGTTCACAATATTCGTAGACATTCAGTTGGTGGAACGTTCACAACACTCACAACTTTCATAATAACAGAACACTATCATTACCCAGACGAGACGAACAGTATGTAAAAATTCGTTGTCAATGTTGAATTTAACAAGCAAATGAAATAGCATCTAACTGAATGTACTTAGAAGTGTCTCACTTATTGTAAACAGTGCTCATTTGCTAACCCCTTAGGATTTCACTTGGTCATTTGGTATTAACAATAAAAAACAGTAGTGATAAGTAGGGATCCAGATTTCTGTAATTGAATGCACATCTTCTTTAGCCCAGCATGTGTCTGTCCTGCTGTACTGGGTGTCAACTGTATGATCTAGAATATACTATTGTTATAAAAATTAATAACTGAGATGGGAACGGGCTCACCTGATTCTTGGAAATGTAGTTATGTGTCCTTGATTCACTGGTATCTAGAAATTGAACATGAAGTATTCCAGCACCACCACTATCCCCGCAACTGGGCGAAGATCAGTTTCACGATAATTTATTTTATTTGAACACATAAATATTGGTACAATATGGCACCAAATATATATGCGCCACACTAAACAATAAGAATTCGAAGAAAAAAGAAAAATAACGAACTGATTAGTGCAAGGTAGTGTAATAGTAATAATAATGAGGGAAGCGAAAAGGTACAATCAGAAGAAATCTTTCAGTTAAGGAAGAAGCAACCGCTTCTTACGAAGAAAGTAAAAGAAGGTTACAGCACGATCGCCACGGGCTTCTATTCTGAGCCATATCTGATAACGTCTCTGGCCACTGTGCTGCACCATCTCTCAGACCCCAGCCAGGGAGTCGTGAAGGACCAACACAAGTCAGCCCTTTGCAGCTTTCTTTCATACCACGACACCATGTCATACACTGACCACATCTCCGCTTTTTCCAACCAGTCCGAGTCGACAACTAATGCGCAACGTGGAATTCTCTGGGACGATATTCGTAGAAAATATCCAAGCCACCCACCTTATTTAAACTAAAAATTTTCTGCAATCTCAGATCGCGTTTACACTGTTCGTCTGACAATGCTACGTATTTGGCCTAAATTAATTTTGGACTTGTACAAATTCATTCTACAACGTTGTTTTAATCCAAGAATTTAATCAACAGTACTTCGTATATAATCCAGAATCGAACTACTGTCTACTTCATTACTTGGAAGCATGAGTAGCCCAGGAGTGTTTCATAATTGCTTTAGATTATTTCTTACCATGTTTCTGATGCCTAATAACACTTCGTAGTTTCTTTCACATGAAATAGTTGTATATTCTGTCAATGCCGTCAAGTTCTAGTCAAAATCATGTACATTTATGACTCGTTAGTCGACATACATATTGCATATACACGAGCAATCTTATTCCACGTTCTCAGTAGACACTTCGTCGTACGTAATATGTCACTTAACGCTAGGTGGTAAGCTCTTTGTATCAGCCTTTTACGAAATCGCCACGTTACCTGAACCCTCTAAACGTTAGTTACATTGGCGGTTATTGTTTTAATTAGTGTTTACTATACTCCTTGTATTTGCTATTATTCCACACGGTAAATCATGGCTCGACTTCCTTATTACGCGACAGTCATTTTAATTCCATTTTCGGTTTATTTGTATGCGATACGGGCTTATAAAATATCTAAACGTCCTCGAAAATTCTCCACGAACATAACCATAGTTTTCGTATATGTTTTTATTCACACATCCAACTGTTACGCTAATAAAACCTAAATGAATGTTCAGTGAAGCTGTCAGTATACGTAAGAACGACGTTATTTAGATTTAACTTTATAACACATCCGAACTATAGTAGTTATTCTACTTCGATGTCGTACTTTAAATTATGAAGTATTGTTTCCTCGTGGCTGTTATCTAACAGATGATTTCGGTACATCAATCGACTGTTCAACTACTCGACGATTTAAAACCTGTCCAGGTCAACTGGTGGTCTGACGACATTATCATTCGCGCGAATCATCAGTTCATGCAGTCGAGCGAATCTCCTGCAAACTGAAGACGACATTGTCGCCTCTACTTCAACACTGAAAACGTTTTTCACTGGTATCATTGACAAGAGTCCAGAGCGACACTCTTAGTTTCTTATGTTCTTTTCGATATTTTTTTCTGTCCATTAACCGAACAAAAACGCAACATTCACCGTTTATCATCTTTTAGAGACTTCATCGTGCCGTCTTCGCTCTTGATCTGTAGCCTTCAACCCTTACTGACTGTAACAGCAGTCATCGACTTTTCAAACTCTGACTACAAGTTGGTCAATAGCTTCGCACAGCGAAATCACGACTTCTCTTCACGGTTGTACGCCAGGTGGCATATCGGCGATGACTATGCCGAAAGTTATTGCTAGCCAGAAACAGGTTGTGGTCTGTGCACAGTTGCAGTAGACGGTCCCCGTTATCTGTCCTGTGACCAACAACTCGTCATCGGCCACCTAAACGACTCTCTTCTGTGCCTAGACGCCCGACCTGAACGTTCGAATCTCCGGGTGGTACTAAAATATCTGTCAAACGCACTTGTCCCATGGGACAATTTTGAGACCTGTTCCCAAGCAATTGCTTGGTTAACCAATAAAGGGGAAAATGCGTTGGAAAATAAAGGAGAAAACGTGCCAAAATGTCGCCTTTTTCGCCTGTCCGGGGGAAATAATTCGAATTTCCCCCTTTTTGCCGCTGTTTCGCTAAATTGTCTACTTTCCGCCTAAATGCACACAGAACTGCCTATTTTTGATCCAATTTTTAAAGCACCATTGGCATAACCCAAAAGGTCTCCTATGTTCGCCTTTATTCACATAACAAGCCACTCTAAAACTGCAATCCACGGGAAAAAACGGTATATATTTTAATAATTTTATTGATAAGGAAAAGCGTATTATTGTACAACATTATAGCAGAAGCTTGAGCATCAATTGTTTTGCATTTCCATTGCAATTGTCAATTCATTATTATCTGAAAGTATCTGCAAAAGAAGAAACAGGTGATGTATTATTTATAAGGCATATGCATTTAATCGCTAGTTCACTGGGAATCAAACACACTTTCTCAACACTCAAATAGCTTCCCATGTAAGTAAAAGTAAGCGCTTTTATAAA